TTTTGGCAGGTCGAAATTTTTCTTTGCAAAGAAAAGGTAATTCCACTGTAAAAAAAGCAATGATCTAATGATTTTTTTGATGAGAATGTAAAGAAAAAGATAAATTTTGACGTATACCTTTTTTGGGCTGTTATACAATTAACGCGTTTTTTGATGCGGGTAAAATTTCTAATAACCTGCTGTATCACAGAGAAAATAACAGGATGGACTTCATGCCAGCAGATTTTTTTCGGGTTAAAGTAGGTTGACAAATGTGGTTCAAGGGTGTGTTCTAAATACAGTGTTTACAATTTCCATGCAATCACAATTAAATTAATTATCTCTGGGCAGCAGAGAGAGCAAAAGTCTGCCGTGTTTAATGAACCCACCCCTACACGGAATGCCTCCTATTCCCGAGGGTAGCGCCGACGGGGTCGACACACTTTTTGGCCCATTATTAACAGCAAAAAATTTCAATAACATGGCTCTGCGGATAATACAAGAGAATATGTGATTTATGTTCCCCGCTGTCTTCTACTCGTAAATATATCGACACAAAAATGAAAAATTGTGTGGAACGATGGTACAGTTTATCTTTCAATATTGTCCTGCATTATAAAGGATCTAAGTTGTTTATGATGTTTCTGCCAATATATGATATTCTGTTTTCAAATCTTTTTTTTTTTCGTTTTGCTTATGAAAATGTAGTATAGATGAAGGATTTTTGAATCGAGCAGATATTTGTTGGTAATTCTAGAATGTGATATCATTTATTCCCAACCATTATTTCTTTAATCAAGTTAAAACCTACAGACTTGATTTATTCATTTATAAGGAAAACATTGTAAATTTTATCGTTTCACTCTCTACCTCTCTCTCGCTTTCTTTCTCTCTCTCTTCTCTCTCTATCACACACACACACACACACACACACACACACACACACACACACACACACACACACACACACACACNCACATTCGCACGCACACACACACACACACACACCCGCGCGCACGCACGCACACTTTCACTCTCCCGCTCTCCCTTTCTGCTTATTTCGATAGACCTACACATTGTTATCATTATAATAGATAGATTGTAGATTGCAGACATACAGATAGCAAGAGGGATGTAACAGTTGTAGGTAGTGATGAGAAGTTGGTGTCTCGGGGGTCCGCAGCAGTTAGCGGAGATAGCTCAATTGTAGACCATCGGAGAATTTATCCGTATGCCGCAAGTTCAAGGCTTGCTCGTGACAATGATTTTTCATTTCAACTTTCTTTGCAAAAAATTACTCCAGTAAAAAGTAAACTATTGGAACATTTATTACCATTAATTAAATACCAATAATTTGAGGGAAAAATAGGCAAACTCTCTTACAGATAATAGGCGCTCATAAATAGATATATAGGAGTGAAAAATACATAAAAATGTTCACTCATTTTTAAGCAGTAGGTCACACTCACTCGCACCTTCTGTTTCTGCACTAACTCAATCATTCACTCTCTCTCTCTCTCTCTCTCTCTCTCTCTCTCTCTCTCTCTCTCTCTCTCTCTCTCTCACACACACACACACACACACACACACACACACACACTTTTACTTTTTCCCTCTCTCACACATACACACACTCTCTCTCTGTCACTCGCTTTTCACTTTCACATTCTCCCTCCTTCTCTCCTTCCCTCTCTTCCATTGAGGCAATTGAATGTTGGGGCAGGAAATCGAAAGGCTGTGTATTTCTAACAAATAGAGCCATCTACTCGAACAGTAAGGCGGCAATGAAGGAAAATACTTCATTAAGGAAAACAACAAAATTACCCTTGTTTGGTACCAGGGCATACTGAGAAGGGGAAGGAGAGAGAGAGTGAGAGAGAGAGAAAATATTTTATTGTGTGTCTAAGGTCCCCTAAGAATAACATCATCGCTGTGGCAGTACAGTAAGGAAAATAAAGTGAATGAATGAGAGAGAGTGAGAGAGAGAGAAAATATTTTATTGTGTGTCTAAGGTCCCCTAAGAATAACATCATCGCTGTGGCAGTACAGTAAGGAAAATAAAGTGAATGAATGAGAGAGAGTGAGAGAGAGAAACAGAGAGAATGATTGAATGAATGAAAGTTTTATTTATAGATATATACGCAAAGTTAAGTCTCATAGACATTTCTTAACAAATAATTACGATAACAAGTGCGCTGTGGCTGTACGACTGCAAAATTACTTATGTAGTTAACATTTGATAGAGCTAATAAGCTAAAAAAATAAATAAATAAACAATGAAATATAATATGCCTTAAAATGGAATTTAAGATACTACTTTAAATTGTGATTATAGCCATATAGTTATTCTGAGAGAGAGAGAGAGAGAGTGTGAGAGAGAAGAATTACTTATTCCCATTTCCCATTTGTTCGCTCTCTCAAGCACTCAATCAATCAATTAATTTACGGAAAAACCCATCCAGTTACAAACTCAACTATATAACCACTCACTAGTTATATAGCTCAACGTGCAAACTGAATCAATCTTGCAAGCTTTTGTTAGCTAGGAATTTTTTCCTTAGTTAGCCAATTATCATTATTTTCTGAATTCCACCATCTCGCTCTCACTCCCTCAATAACTAAATGAGCAAGTCAGTTATACAGGGTGACTGGCGATAAGCGTTGAAAATTTTAGGAGGTATTTCTACTTACAATATGCAACAAAAAACTTCCTATAAACCCTTGTCCAAATCTCAACGATAAAGAAGTAATTTCAGATTTGGGTTTATTTTTTATTTTTCGACATAGGTTCACTAAATTGCTTATAAACTTAAGAATTACCGACCGCTGAAAAATCTGGTTTGTGCCACCTGAAATAACATCAAATTTTATGTAACAAAACCTATTTACGACCCCCCTACACGCAAAATTAAAAACAAAAATGTTGAAATTTGGAATTTTTTGAAAATGTTGGATTGTTAACTGTCAATCGTGTTGAAATTTTGCATTCTGTTAATCGTGATCCAAAAACCAGTACAGGTGCGTCATGTATAGACCTTGGTGTTCCACGTTTGAGCGTGCTCCCCCTTCATCGACACCGGTTTTTTTCAACAAAATGCAAAATATTTGGGCCTTCCATAATCCGCGCAATCCAGAAAATTGGGCATACCGCTGCAATCTAATTGAATGGGGAAATTTTGAAGGAATTTGCAAAGCTCCAGGAGTTTGTAGTTATTAACAGTTACCAATCCAACATTTTTGTTTTTCTGAATTTTTCGTGCAGAATTTTTTCATCAATTCTGCAATGTAAATACGTTTTCTTGCAGAAAATTTAACATTCTTTCAGGTGGCATAAATCAGATTTTTCTACAGTCAGTAATTGTTAAGTTTATAAGCAATTTAGTGGACTTAAGTCGAAAAATTAAAAAAAACCTGAAATTACTTCTTTACCGTTGAGATTTGGACAAGGGTTTATAGGATGTTTTCTGTTGCATATGGTGAGCAGAAATACCTGAAAATTTCGACGCTTATGGCCAGTCACCCTGTATATCACACATTGAGTAAGTTCAATTATTGCCTATGCAGATTAGTATTTTTTTACACCGACATATTGTTAAATAAATTTAATTAAAAATGAAATCCATAAAATATTAAGAATGAATAGTGACCTAATTTAAATTTTCATTCATTATTTACCACTTTCGCTGTAAATAGAAATAACATTCAAATTACAACAAACAATTGATATTTTGCGAAGTGATACATCTATATTATCTCTGTTTAAAATTTATTTATTACTATCAACATTTTAAAAAAAGAAAATAATATTAATTTGCACGGATGAAAAAAATTTGGTTGTCATTTTCGTGTAATTTTTTGAGGTTGTTTTGACAAAAAAGTGTTCAAATTAAGGGCCATTTTTTAAGAACGAAACATTTATTACATACACGATATGCGAAAAGAACCTTCTATTAAAAAGATCAGTAATCAACAATGTTCCGAACCTACAACAAGACTCTAGCCTAGATTAAACTCAGAAGAGATTAACGTTAATTATTTTTTGAATTATTTCAAAACCTGATTGTCGTGCGAACCCGTCCATACTTTGCTGTAGCAATATAAAACGTTTATTTCAATTAAAATCTTTGAATTCTGTCCTCAACCGTGTTACTATTGAAACTCGTTATCTATATTTATTCACTGTTCAAAACTAATAAACGGTAGGCGTACTAAACGAGATAACATTTTTTGTTTTTTTAAATTTTTAATACCCATATTGAAATCTGTGTTTTAATTTTTTTTAATATCATGGCGAATTTGTGACGTTGGAATAAAATAAAGTTCAAGGATGGGATAAAAACACGCCGTTCATCCCGCTTTGAAACACGTGGTCTCTGCAAACCTGGCGTACTGCCACGTGCATACATGTAGAAAAATACAAGTTTTTAAATAAACCATGTTTATTCGATGTCTGAATCTAATTTTATATTTAAGCATGCTTTGGATACTATTAAGAGCGAAAGTTTATCCTTAAATTTTAAAACCGTTTTGAGGTTGTTTTTAATTTTAAGTATTAAAGCAGCCCGAAATAATAAAATGAGCAGTGTTCCACTCGTCGTAAATAATACAAGATAGCTTAAGAGCATGCGGAACTAAACTACAACAGCATGCCAAATTATCAACGGGTTTGTCCTTGTTTTTCTTTTTTAAAGATTAGATTTTTGCGACATTGTCGCGAATAAATTGGCGTGATATGTCATGAAAGCACATTTACGTTTACCGTCGTGTGTCTTTGAAATTTCAACTGTCCATTGGTGAAAATGCTGCCCTGTCAATTTGTCTCTCATCGCCCATGTTTTTCTTTATAAATAGTGCCCGAGGGTGATGTCATTGTCATAGTATCCGTGCCAAGTCCTTTCCCGTGTTCGGTCCGAAGTCATTAAACGTCAGGGATGTTTGTCAAAAGGCTGCCGTCCCGTCTGGGATTTTAGTCCGTCTCTTGTTAAGATAACAAAAGGTTGACAATTTTTTTGAGTACGTACGGTAAAGGTTAGCGGGGAGCGTGTGCTGGGGGCGGCAATAGAAGTTAAACTGAACTCGGACGGTGGGCGCCTTCCACATTTATAGCCGCCCCCACCACAAACGCCCCGCCCCTCATTCAAGCGCCTCCTGAAATTCTTCCCTTTTTATTAAAACATCAACGGGCTTGGTAAATAAAAAAAGGCAAATTAACATTTAAACAAAAATTAGCATTAAGGGAAAATTCTACGGTACATTATCGGGCAGCAAATACTTACCAAAATTTTAATTTATCCATTCATGTTAAAAAAAATTCGAACTTTATTCAATACTAACATTTTTCATCATTTTTATTATTCTTTGATTTTGAAATGTAAATTAAGACGGCTAAAAAATTAATAACAATAACAGTGGTACTATACCTGTCACTATTCAAATAAAATTATAACTTTATAAATTAATATAATATAAGCGAATAGAAATAATCCTAGCAAACTGTGGCAGGATCAGGAATAGGTCGGTCCCTGGTCCTCAGAGAACATGTCGAAAAGGGAAAAAGCCATACTGACAAGACTACGCATAGGTCATACAAGAATAACGCACGGGCAACTTCTGGCCGGAAAGCGACCGCCGCTTACGTGCCCGTAACGCAAGGATAGAATAACTGTTGAGTCCTTTTCAATTCTAGAAGGTTTGATGTATACCGGGTGTCCTTTGTAGATGGCCCGGTTGAATTCTTGAACTTATGACGCTTAATATTTTTTAATTGCCTTTGCCGCAGTTCTTTAACTGAGGTTGCTAGGTTATGATTGGCGTAGACACTGTTTTTTAAACGGTTCCACAGAAAATAGTCAGTTGGAGATAAATCGGGTGACTTAGGAGACCAACAGATCGACCCATGGAGGGCCGATCCAACTATCCCGGAAATGACGATTGAAATAAAGTCTTGGCTGCGGGGCATCCATCAAGCTGGAGAATCATTCTTTGTCGTTGTGGCCGAGAAACATCATCTAATAGTGTTGGTAAAACCTCCACCAAAAAATTCAGAAACTGAACACCATTTAAATTATTTTCGTAGAAATAAGGCCTAATTAATTTATTTCCGAAAAGCCCACACCAAGCGTTGATACTGTGAACCACCTGATGATAACAAGAGTACGTAATTCTGAAATTTCCTCTGCCCACGTTCGAAAATTTCAACGGTTTAGTATGCCAACGGAGGTGATCTTGGATTCATCAGTCCATAGGATGTATGGAAAAACTTTTCTGCAGCCTCCCAAATGGAAATTCATTTTGAATACAATGCTGAATGTAACGAACAGGTAATATTGTAATATTTATTTACTTCCAGGAATTAAGATTTGCTCTCATAATACGAGTTTGGCAAACAATGACAGAATGGAAACAATAAAGGTAATTAATGTTTACTTTAGTGAAGAAGCAAATTTGAGTTAACAACGAAACAAACGAAATTCATTTTTTCAAACTATTTGCCATACCTTTGTAACTCTTTGGCCATTGTTTTCAGCATAAAAATCTTTTAAAATGATGTGTCAGGATGTATAGGGTCGTATTTGAAATTTTGAAGTTAAACTGTGTCTGAGGTACCTTGCATAATTTTTCTCAAAAAAAAGGTAATACTAGACTAAAAAATATTAAAATCGTATTTTTTTGTGTTTTTTGATAGCCTCAATGGTTCAAGAAAAATTCTGCCGAACCATCTACAACGAACATCCGGTATAGACAATATTTTCGCATATCATCGTACTTGAGCGTAGTCTTGGGGATGGGTAGCGGGCACAGATCGCTGTTCAGAAAAAGCCAGTGACACGAGCGGGATTCGAACCCACGATCTTGGGTTTGATGTCCGAGATTATCGAAGTAACGATAGCTCAAGTGGTTTTAGAAGCGGGTCAAGCCAAAGGTCGTGGATTCGAATTCCGCTCGTGAGACTGGCATTTTCATCTCAATCACGACATTAGATAAAAAGTATCATTAATTTCAATTTAAGTAAGATTGTACAGACTGTATAAGTTTTAAGTTCGTACATATTACTTATGTATACCACATTAAAGTATCAGACAACGATCTTACGAATTGCTTTTTCTATTTCTTTTATCACAAATGTAACTTGTGAAAACAATTTCTTCTAACACTGTTTTGAAGCAAAACAAGGTTGCTAAAACGTAGTTGTTACATTTGAAAAAATTACTTATTCGTGTTGTAATAATAATAATAAGTGGGAAGTTTATGGGCCAACAAACAGCTGAGGTCATCGCCGGCCCTCTACGTGNGTTTCCCATTCTTTTTTTACTGAGTTTGAAATTAGTAGTTTTAGGTCCGCTGGGCGTATTCGTGTTGTAATTATTTACTTGGGTATTTGAACTTCGCGGGTATATCAAACGTCGGGGTTCTGGTGTTTTTGAAAAAATATGTTCATTTTTATGTATGGGGTTTTGGAATCAGAGCCGCTGGGATTCGAACCCGGAACTCTTAGATTGATGTCGGAAGGTCAATGCTGCAGACACTTTTAGTTTAAAATTTATTAAAATAATGTTTACCAAGCGAAACACTTTTTCTACTTGCAAATTTCTTGTAAAGTTCGTAAACTACATGAGTGGTGTATTTTAAACTTTATGTTATTAACATAATGGGCTGAAACAGGTTTTACAAATGTATCCCCTGGGACACATTGCGAAGTTCACGAAAGTTCTTATGACCTTTTTTTTAATGATAAAACAAAATTTTTAACCTAAAAGCATTGCGAGTTTGAAGATTATAAAGACTGGGACTGAAGAGTTGGAGGCAGAGGTCAGGTTCGACTCAGAGAGGAAAAATGGTCGGAATAATTTACTGATAATGTTTTAACATAATTTCTCAACATATCTTATTTTTTAGTAATTTATTATTAATATTATTAATTTATTAAACAAAACTAACAATGCCTAAGGACTCCCCTCCCATTATAAATAATATAATTTTTTAAAGGTATAGTATCGAGGCCTACATAGTTTGACATAGGGCTCCTCTTCAAAGAAATTAACCCAAATACAATGATTAATTTCCCTGTAATCGCGAAAATAATGACGTTGTGCATTCTCTGCTGAGAATTTAATGAACCAATGTTTAGTTGTGTTAAGCGTTCGTTAAACACCTCTTTCCTAACGTTACGCTCCGCCTTAATTAAATATTTACCTATATATACTGTTTTCCACCACTTGAACAAACTCGACTGTACAGGTTTTAAAAGAAAAATCTTTAATGAACGTTCGTCCAAATTGATGCAAATGATGGGATAATCGAATTGAAGGAATTTGAATTTGAGGGTGGGTGTTACATGTAAAAGCCCTGTCCGTGTATTACAATTTCATCTGTGCCAGCAGACCATAAAGTTACCCCGGTATTTGAATAGCGTCTTGTTCTGGATTTCCATGAACTTTCATCTTGTGTATGTACTTTTACCATTATGGAGGGAGAGAGAGATAGCAGAGAGTCAGAGAGAGAAGAGAGAAAGAGAGAGAGAGTGAGAGAGGGGACAGCGAGAGAGAGAGACAGCGAGAGAGAGAGAAGAGGGAGAGAGAGAGAAAGAGAGAGGGAAAAAGAGAGAGAGAGAGATAGCGAGAGAGGGGAGAGGGGGAGAAAAGGAGAGGGGATGTAATAAGGGAGAGGGGAAAGCATAATTTAAATTAAAGAGAAAATAATAACAAATTACGAATATAGTACTTTAATGCTTCTCAGTATATTTTTTTTTCTTCTTTTTTTTACAATGGATACCAGAGACTGGAGCACTGCAGCTGAGCTGTACAGCTTATTGTACTTTATCCCTGGCTCCATATTTTAGGGGAGGGCTCGCAACACAAATGTGAACTTGAGCCCCCGTTGTACCGGTGTTCTTCCATCGAAGAAACTCATTTTTGAAGGGGGTTGGGACCAAATTCAGGGTCCCTGAGATCCGATCCCGCCCCTTCCATTGATGAGTGCCGTGTCAATTTCTTTCAATTGCGGCCACCGGTCCCCTTAGGCGTCAGAAAAAGTCCAGAGGCGACGGTGGGGATCGAACCCACGACCGCGGGATCTACTAGCCGAGAGTCTGACGCCTTAACCACTCGGCTACCGCGGCCCCCTCTCAGTATATTAGTTTATTATTTAGACAAAAATAAATTTAAAAACGGTCACAAAAATCTTAACTAAATCTTAACACCCTATAGACACAGAATCAACATTGAACAATTTTTAAATATAAAATTTTGAATTTTGTGAAATTTACGGTCGATAATAACGCAAGACTGAGTTCGCTTCTGTCAAGACAATTTTCCAGATAGTAGTTCTGATCTTTTTGATCTACCCAATCAGAAGAAATCTAGAGCAATCTAGATCAATTTACCATGCAAAGTATTGAATAAGGCTCTAGTTAATGGCTTGAGTTACATACAATAAGCTTAAAAACAAACAACAATATGAACACTTCATTAGATTTCGTGGTCCGATTGACCAAGTAACATCTTTCAATTAATTAATCTTTATGTAAGGTACTGAAAAATGGCAAACAGGGGGGAAAATTCAAAAAGGTGGGGTTAAGATGGGAAGTTAGTATCCGAGTGAATCGAGGTCACAATAGCTCAAGTGTTCGAACAGCGGCGTATTTAGCCGAAGGTAGTGGGTTCGAATCCCGACTTTTTTATCTCAACAAATCCTTACGTAAAGACTGATATGAACAATCAAAACTAGCACTTAACTATTGTCATTATTTGATTGTCATTAATTGTAATTAACGTTAGTGAACGCAATTCCAGCTTAGTTTTAAGAAAGAAGAGCTAAATGCATTCGTATTATGAAATTACTGCATCCGGTTATCAAATTTTATTATACAAATCCAGGGTTATGAATATTAACCGATTTAACTATCCCTTCTCTCTTGGCTGTATACCACGTCTACAATTTTTTTTCAGCACGGAAAGTAAAACATTTCATCTTCATAGTACGGTATGTTGCTTTAAGCCTTCATAGATTTTATATTTTTTTACAAAATGACTGTGATTAACAATCATTAAATAAGGTAAGACGAC